ACTTCCTTATCAGTGTTCAAATCTTCGTTCAGAATAACCTTCCCAGATTCTTGGTCGATTGGGGTCACATCATCTTCAGAACTGCTGAAATGAACTGGACTAGGCGTCTGAAGAACTATCGGCTTCGGCAAATTCACAAGAGAAGTAATTGGCAGAGATATGTTGAAAACCCTGAGGGGAGTCTCGATCTTTGGCTGAGGATCGTCAAAATACAAAATTTTCTGTTCCAACATATCTCTGGCAATATTCTTAAGCGCGTAACAACCTTCCAAATCGTGACCAGGCGCACCCTTATGAAATAAACAGTGAGCGGCGGCGTTGTAATTGACTGGCAATGGATTTGGAGGCGGACCCAAGGCTCGGGTAATAATCAGACCTCGTTGCACTAAGAAAGGATACAACTCGGTAAAAGTCATCGGAATTGGAGGACAAGGTTTGTACTGTCTCTTATTCGGACCATTCTGACGAGGTTCTTACCTCTTAGGCTGTTGATTGGCAGGAGCGTTGGGCGCTCGTTGAAAGTTGCCAGGAGTTTGTGCAGGATGATAAACAGGAGGTTGCTGATTTATCAGATGCTGATAGACCGGAGCTGGTTGCACAGGATGATTGGTAGGAACCTGCTGATTGAAGGGAGGTGCAACAGTTGCTACATAGGTTTGTGGAGCATACTGAACTTGATAACCTTGAACATAATTCTGCTGAGGTTGCCAAGATTGATGAGTAGCCATCAAGCGATTCCTCGGACGTGCAGGTCCTTTATAATGGTCAAAGCTCGGAGTTTTGCACTTTGGAGGAGTAACTCGTCGAACTGGTTGAGCAATAGTATGAGGCACTGAACTGGATTGACGACTCTGAAGAGGTATATTCTCGGCAGTAACAACTGGTTGAGGATCCACAACAGTATTGATACTCTCAGATACCACAGTAGATTGAGTCTCAATCTTTACCTTAAGAGCTTGTAGCATCTCCATAATTTTCCCCATACTTCCTCGAAGATCTTCGAGTTCATGACTGACACGGGCGATCTCTTGGCTATATTCTTCCATCCTTTTTCGAGCGTGGGCTCTAGTATTATACTGATGCGGAGGAACCAGGGTGACGAAACTCCAAGAAAGGGAACAGAGACTCCTTCAGAATAGGTAACCCCACCAATTGAGAGTACTCTTCTAGGGTAGGAAAGAGCTGATACTCGTGGAATATAAGGCAAAGATAATATGGATCCTAGAACTGTAACAAAGTCGAAAGAAGTCCTTCGTCTACTTGAAGTTTCAACAAAAATAGCAACTTTCCATATTTGTTTCTGAATCCTTTGTTGATCTTGAACCAAAGCTCCTAGCTTCCTTAGGTCATCTAACTTAAGACTTTTAAAAGAATATCTCAAAGTGTTTTTTTTTGTAATTCATGGTATCCTGTAATATTTATAAATAAGGTTTAAATTCCATGAAATGTGATGCAATGTGATGCTTTGATGGATGCAATGCACATATATTCACAAGTCCTAGGTTAAAGGTGTGTGCAAGGAGTTAGGGTCTACCCATCCCAATAAGGTATGTACTAAGGTTAGATGTACCTGCCGAACAAGGTTCTAAAAAGTGCCCAAAGTCATCAACCCTTCTTTCGGATATTATCAACTTTCCGACTGACTCGGGGGTCGATAATATTCTCAAGAGAACCTCTTTTGAGTGTAGTATCGCGTAGCAACTATTGTAGGACTACTCCCACATAGTTCCCGCACTACGTCCTATATAAGACCAAAGTGGTGTTAAGGTACTACGGTCCTCAATATCATAGACACCAATCGAAAATAGTAAAAGTTTTCACGACTACACTCGTTCAACCGAACCATTTTCGAAAGGGTCTCAACTGAGCGGTGATTCTCGAGTCAACTTGGTCGGGACTCACTCCCGGCAAGCTTCGTCGAATATATCCCCATCCTATAATAAGGTCACTCAAGTCCGGGTTAGGACTTACCTCACAATAGAAGGATATCCCCACAATATACAATAATATATAGAGATAATTAATAAAATAAAATAATCATACAATAAAACAAAATAGGGGCAACCCTTAGAAATTAGGAGGATCCCCAGTGAAGTCTCCATTTTTTGTTGCGGTGGAAATAGGATACCAAACTATTAATTAGTTTGAATCACAATTCTTAATTCACAACCGCTCTTTGATTTATCCGAAGGAAAAGGTCAAAAGAGGAAAAACCCTATTTTTGCATCGTAAACACAATGCGGGGAGAGACCTAGGTAAGGGGTTGGTTAAATTTAGGGAAGGTACTAGCACCCTAAACTTCTGTAGTACTCTACAGGAACCTTTTGTTTATTGTATGCTTTTTATTTTATTTTATTTATTATTATTTGTATATACTGAATTAAGGGATAAAGTGACCTAAAGACCTAAGGGTTAGTCCTAAGTTTACTCGGCAAGACGTCGCATCTTGTGCCTACATATCCTGACGGGAATGGAATCAGAGTAATTGTAGTTCCCCTCATAAGGGAGGTTAGAAACTTCTTGACTTTGGTCAAGGTTTCAATGGGGAATAAACATATCTTAAGGACATGCTTACGTGGAGTCTTAGAACTCCTATTTCTACGTTGAACTTGTTAATTAAATTAGGGTTAAATTAGGGATTCCACGGCGGGAAACCCTAAACAGAGCACGACGGCTCTTTGACCTAAAAGCTAGGGTAAAGGGCGTTTTTGTCCACGGCGGGACACCTAGGTTATTAGGGTTTGAAACGGTCAAAAAATTAGGGTTATCGACTCGGCGGTCAAACAGCTAAACCTAATTCCTTCGGAGGGAATTCTAACGGCAAATCATGCAAGATATAGCAAATTATTATACGGCAGAATTAAAATGCGGAAAGTAAAGACAGCGTCGCGACCATGGCCTCGCGTAACTTACATCCATGGAACAAAATATAAATATGATAACAAAATATTTAATTAATAATAATCGGAGACTGACTGAAACCTAGCGGAAAACAAATAGACAACGTTAGTGAAAAAAATTAGGCGGAAATCAATGACAAATAATAAAGCAGTTAATAATGAAAGAAAGAAAATGCAATTTGGAATTTTATTATTTTATTAATTTTGAAAAAAACTTTATTTTTAGTTTCTGAAAAAAGAAATTTAATCTTAATTTTGAAACAATGGTTTTTAATAAAAATGTTTTAGTTTTAATTTTTTTAAAATTTTGTTTTGATTAAGAAAATTGTTTCTAAAAAAAAAGGTTCTTAATAATAAAAAAAAAAGAAAAGGGTTTTTAAAAAAATAAAAAAGAGTGTTAGTAATAAATTAAAACATAATGTGATTACTAATTACAGTTAAAAAAAGAAATAATAAGATAATATTATAATATGATAATATAATAAGAAAAGAGATTAAAGGAGTGAAGTGGTGCGGTGACATTGTTTTTTGGTTTTGGAAAAAAAAAACCTTTTTCTTTTTTTTTAGGGTTTGGGAAAAGACCCTTTCTCTTTAGGGTTTAAGAAAAAAAAACCTTTCCCTTTTTTATTCCCAACCGGCGGCGGCTGTCTTCCATGGTTGAGAGCATTTTCTCCTTAATATCCCCCTTAATCTACAATCAATGAACAAAACAACACAGAAAAATTGTAAAAGGGATGATGTTGAATGAATTAAAAATTGTAAAAGGGATGATGTTGAATGAATTAAGCCTCTGCCGTTGGAACTTTTTGCTCTGCCGTTAGAATAAACATAAAGAAAAAAACAAAAAGCGAAAAAGGTAAGAATTGAACTCTCAACCTCTCACCCTCACAACTCCTTACACACAGTCTCTTGCCAATTATGCTATTTTATTCATTCGAAATAAAGTGGCACTAGAAACCATGTAAAGGTAGGACAAATTTGAGGTACTACATGCGTAACCTGTTAATAGTTAGCTGATGCGAAAATGAGATATTATGCGACATGAATTGACTAATCTAAGGGTAAAATTTGGGGTATTACAACGGGAACTGCCACTATTCTTTTAGAACATTGAGTTTGGGGGGAGAAATAAGGTTAAAGACATTGAGTTTTAGAACAATGTTATAACAAACAAAAAACAATGTGCACAATCAATAATTGAATAATAACAAAGAGTAAGAATAATAATATTAACATCATCCGATTATATGTCCCAATCAAGAAAAAACAAGTTCAACCTCAAATATGACCTAATTTAAGAGGAATCTAGATACTCGTGTTAAATTAAATCAATACCAATAGTGTAGACTCAAAGAACATGAAAAATCACTGAAAAAAAGCTATTCAATGCCTCTAAAAACTCTAAAATATCTCTTTTCCGTCACTTTATACTCCTTGAAATTGAACTTGTTTCCTTTCTTCTCCTTATAAAACAGTCGGAAACGTGTCAACGAAAAGTTGCAACGCGGGCGCGCTGCCTTTCAACGCAGGCACATTACTTTTCAGCGTGGGCGCGTTAGAGGCAACGTGAGTGCGTTATGGGTGCGTATTTTCTAGGAAGCATATTTTTATTTCTTTTTCCACCAATTTTCTCACTAGGTTCTTTTCACAATAAGGATGTGCATCGAAAACTCCAATCTGCTGCAGTGTCCATAATCATCCTCATTTTTTATTCCGCAACTACATGTGATTCTTCGGTTAGTTGTATTTTTGAACACCTTTTATAAGTATCAATTATAACTGCCAAATAATTAAAAAAAAAAAGTTTTTTATTTTTTATTTTTTATTTTTTATTTATGTCATCAAAATAATAACAAAATAAAATTTGTTTCGCATAAAAGTTAAACTCTTTCTCAAAAACAAAATTAATAAAAGAACCATTGTTCTGTTTTCAAGTGTCAAAATCCCGCCAAACCAATCCATGCATATTATTATCGTACAATATATAGTCGATAGATGTTACATCGTACCGTGTCTCGTCGTGTTTATCTTCCAATTCTCAACTTTCAGACAGTGACACCTTTATGCAATTTATGCAATTGTTCCATTTCCACAACCCAGATGAACCTCACAAAGAAACTAACATTTTCCCATATTTTCCAAAAATGTTCCAACCTAAAAGCTCTGAACCCTGGCAAACAAGCTCATTCACAGATGATAGTAACTAGCTTTGTTCCCACTATCTTTGTATCCAACTGTTTGCTTCAATTATACTGCAAATGTTCGAATATGAGTTACGCGTTTAACGTGTTCGACAGAATGCCTCAACGGGATGTAATTTCTTGGAACACTATGATATTCGGTTATGCTGGTATTGGAAACATGGGATTTGCGCAGTTTTTGTTTGATTCGATGCCGGAGAGAGATGTTGTTTCATGGAATTCTTTATTGTCGTGTTATTTACAAAACGGGATTCATTGGAAGTCGGTTGAAGTTTTTGTCAAGATGAGATCGTTGAGAATTTTGCATGACTATGCTACTTTTGCTGTTGTTTTGAAAGCGTGTACTGGTGTTGAGGATTATTATTTAGGACTTCAGGTTCACTGTCTTGCAGTTCAGATGGGTTTTGACTGTGATGTTGTAACAGGTACTGCGCTGGTGGATTTGTATTCTACATGTAAGAAACTTGATCAGGCTTTTAAGGTTTTTGATGCGATGCCGGAGAGGAATTCGGTGTGTTGGAGTGCTGTAATTGCAGGCTATGTTCGAAATGATCGGTTTATTGAGGGATTAAGATTGTATACGGATATGCTGAAAGAAGGTATAGGGGTGAGTCAATCAACCTTTGCTAGTGTGTTTAGGGCGTGTGCCGGATTATCTGCATTTGAATTTGGCACACAGTTGCATGCTTATGCTCTAAAGACTAATTTTGGATATGATAGTATAGTAGGAACTGCTACATTAGATATGTATGCTAAATGTGACAGAATGTTTGATGCTCGAAAACTATTTAACACATTCCCCAATCCTACTCGGCAATCTCATAATGCCATTATTGTTGGATATGCACGACAAGATCATGGTCTTGAAGCATTAAAGATTTTTCGGTCTTTACAGAAGTCTTATCTTGGCTTCGACGAAATTAGTTTGTCTGGTGCTTTGACTGCATGCTCAGCGATCAAAGGCCATTTGGAGGGGATTCAACTGCATGGATTAGCGGTCAAATGTGGTTTGGAGTTTAATATCTGTGTTGCGAATACCATTTTAGACATGTATGCAAAATGTGGAGCATTGATGGAAGCTTGTTTGATATTTGATGATATGGAAAGAAAGGATGCTGTGTCTTGGAATGCAATCATTGCCGCTCACGAGCAAAATGAACGAGTAGAAGAAACGCTTTCACTCTTTGTTTCTATGTTGCGGTCAACGATGGAACCCGATGATTTTACTTTCGGAAGTGTTGTAAAAGCATGTGCCGGTCAGAAAGCTTTGAACTATGGTATGGAAATCCATGGAAGAGTTATTAAGTCCGGAATGGGATTGGATTGGTTTGTTGGAAGTACCATGATTGATATGTATTGCAAGTGTGGAATGCTAGTGGAGGCAGAAAAGATTCATGAGAGATTGGAAGAGCAAACAACGGTTTCTTGGAATTCAATCATTTCTGGATTCTCGTCGCAAAAGCAAGGTGAAAATGCTTTGAGGTATTTTTCTCATATGCTACAAGTCGGTGTAATACCTGACAACTTCACATATGCTACGGTTCTCGATATTTGCGCTAATTTGGCTACCGTCGAACTTGGAAAGCAGATTCATGGACAAATTTTAAAGCTACAGTTGCATTCAGATGTGTATATAGCTAGCACTATTGTAGACATGTATTCAAAATGTGGAAATATGCAGGATTCACGAGTAATGTTTGAGAAGGCGCCTAAGCGGGACTACGTGACTTGGAGCGCCATGATTTGTGCATATGCATACCATGGACTTGGAGAAGAAGCCATTAAATTATTTGAGGAGATGCAGCTTCAGAATGTGAAACCAAACCATACCATTTTTATTTCAGTCCTCAGAGCTTGTGCACATATGGGTTTCGTAGATAGAGGGTTACATTACTTCCGGAAAATGCGAAGTGTCTACGGTTTAGATCCCCCGATGGAGCATTATTCATGTATGGTAGATCTATTAGGTAGGTCGGGCCAAGTAAATGAAGCTCTGAAGCTTATTGAAAGCATGCCATTTGAAGCTGATGATGTAATATGGAGAACTTTACTCGGTATTTGCAAGCTGCAAGGGAATGTCGAAGTTGCAGAAAAAGCAGCCAATTCTTTATTGCAGTTGGACCCTCAAGATTCTTCTGCTTACGTTCTTTTGTCAAACGTATATGCTATTGCAGGAATTTGGGGCGAGGTTGCGAAAATAAGAAGTTTGATGAAGAATTATAAGTTAAAGAAGGAGCCAGGATGCAGCTGGATTGAGGTAAGAGACGAGGTGCATGCGTTTCTTGTCGGAGACAAGGCACATCCAAGATCTGAAGAGATATACGAGCAAACTCATTTACTCGTGGATGAGATGAAGTGGGATGGATATGTTCCTGATATTGATAATTTCCTGCTAGACGAGGAAACGGAAGAACAGGATCATTATGAGGAACAAAAAATCGCCGCGTGTAGTGTGAGATAATGTAGAAAAGAATTTAGATGTTGCCTTCAATGGTATAATGACGATTTCTAATGCAGAAGTCTTTCAAGAACTGAGCAATTTGAAAGGTATGGAAGCCAAATTGGCAGTCGGATTGCTCTGTACTGGATAGCGGTCAGAGGTTTGCTTTTTCACATGCTGATGATTTCAATGGCATAATGACGATTCATTTATCAGAATCTCTGGCTGGATATGGTGGTCATTTAGCGCGTACAAACGAGTTTGAATGATTTATCCAGCGGAATGGGTTACAACAATGAGCTTGTGCTGGAAGGTGGTGCGGAGGAGAGAATTCGTGCTTGTGAATGTGATTATATATAGATATATATAATCATACCATGGAACTGATGGATAGATTGAAGCCACAGTCTTAAGTGATATTATGGGTAAAATTGTAGCTTTACAAACCAAGCAGCATGTTCTCAAAAACAGAAACTCATCAACCTGCAAATGGAATAAAAAGTGAAGATTTTGTTGTTAGTATTTCTCCTTTTTATACACATATTTAGTGCATGCGTAGATAGCAAGTGAATTTGATGAAATCACAGCAACACTGATTTTGTTGAAGTTCTAAAGCGTAGCTTTTCATAAAACTATGTAATTATGGTGTGATTCCGCCAAACTCACTGTCAATCCAAACATGCACTTAGAATTTGTTAAGGTGTGTGAATCTGTGATACGCGTGTACTCAAATCTACATCCTTTATCAGTTTTTTTAATATGTTGGTGAAGAATATATAATTCATTCTGGTTTTACACTCTCTAAGCCTATCAACCATGTTCCTGTATGTCAACTACATCTCTAATATGGTTGAACTCAAATTATTTTAAATGTTGATTCAAGGAATGTCATCAAAAAAATATGATCATATTGCTTTAGATCAATTGATTTATATTTTAAAGGAGTTAGATTTCTCCATGATATAGCTTTACAATACATGACTAACATTTAGACAGATTTCTGGAATTTTAACCAATAATGACAAGGATTAAAGATCTGTCAGCATTTTAGCAGGTTGATTGCCATAATGACGATCCTCTTTGAGTGAGAGCAATTCATTTCAATGATTCTAAAAATTTCAAAGGATTTGCGGTTTTCACTGTGTTTTCTAGGGGTGTTCACTGTGCCAATCTGATAGTTACAGGTCTCAATTCAAGTTCCTTAATATGTGGAGCTCTCATCTGGATTGTCAGAATGTTGGGGATTCTGTTTGGAACACTGGCTATGGGCTGCCGCATGTTTGTGTTAACTAAGAAGTTGAAAATTCTGAAAGATAGGTTGAAAACTTGGAATGTTAGCTGTTTTGGGAATGTTAATGACAAAGTTAAGCAGGCTGAAAAGGATCTTAAAGAGATTCAAGACAAGATTGTTATTGAGGGTCACTCGGATGATTTGGCAGCTGCTGAGAGGAAGGCGCAAGTCAGTTTGGATCAGGCCCTTGTTATTGAGGAGTTGTTCTGGAAAGAGAAAGCTCGTGTTCAATGGCATGTGGAGGGTGATAAGAAACCCGAGGTTTTTTCACAGATTGGCAAAAATAAGGAATTCTACCAAGTTTATGCACTCTTTGAAAGTTCGCAACAATATTACTACTTGCAAGGAGGAAATCTCCGATCATGTGGTGCGGCATTTCAACGGTTTATTTAACTCTGTTTCTGTTTTGCAGGATAATTCTTTGGTGGAGGTTATTCCTAACCTAGTAAATGAGCAAACCAACAACATTCTTACAATGATGCCTTCTGAAGAAGAAATTTACAATGTTGTTTTTAGTTTAAAGAGAGACAGTGCTGCTGGCCCTGATGGTTTCAGCCCCATTTTCTATCTGACATATTGGAAAACTATCAAGGATGATGTCATTAAGGCCACTCTTCAATTTTTCAAGGATAGATGGATTACTTCCAATTATAATACGAACACTGTTGTTCTGATTCTGAAGATAAAGGAGGCTGAGAGTATTGACCATTACAGACCAATTGTGTTAGCAAACTTCAAGTTTAAAATTATAACAAAAGTTTTGGCAGACAGGTTAGCTCAGATAATTCCTCATATCATTTCGAAGGAACAAAAGGGCTTTGTGATAAGAGCATAAAGGACTGTATTTGTTTAACATCTGAGGTGGCGAACATTATGCACAAGAAAACTATTGGAAGGAACGCAATGTTGAAGGTTAATATTTCTAAGGCATTTGATACTCTCGATTGGAATTTTCTCTTGAAGGTGCTTGCAAAGTTTGGGTTCAATGATACTTTTTGTAGTTGGATAAAAAGAATTCTTCATTCAGCTAAAGTTTCAATTTCTATTAATGGAGAGCTTCATGGCTTCTTCAATTGTCACAGAGGTGTTCGGCAGGGAGACCCGTTGTCTCCGTTACTGTTTTGCATAGTTGAGGATGTGCTTAGCAGAGGTTTGTCTCAGCTGGTTTCTAACAGTAAGATAAAGCTTATGCAGGCTTGCCGGGGTGTTTCGGTTCCTTTGCATGTTTTATATGCCGATGATATCATGTTATTCACTAAGGGAGTGTTAGTTCTCTTGATGCTTTATCTGTGCTATTCAAAAGATATGCTGACTGTTCTGGACAGTGTGCAATCCTTCTAAGTCCTTTATATTCGCTGGGTCTATGTCGCCTACTAGGCATTCTATGCTTGCCAACAGAATTGGTTTTTTAATTGGTCAGCTGCCTTTCACTTATTTGGGGGTTCCCATCTTCAAATGAAGGCCTAAAGTTGCTCATTTTATGCCTATTGTTGACAAAGTCAGAAGTAAACTAGCAGCATGGAAGGCTAGCCTCTTGTCTATAGCTTGAGAATTCAACAGAATTAGTATGTTAATGTACTCTGTTCAAATATATTCTTGGCCTGTTAGTCTTATTCATTTGGTCGAAAAGTGGTGCAGGAATTTCATTTGGAGTGCCGACATAGAAAGACGTAAATTGGTGACTAAGATCTTACAAAAGTAGAGGCTTGGGGCTGAGATCTTTAAGGACTATCAACGAGGCTTCCAATCTTGTGCAGTGCTGAACATGGGCGACAGGTCCGATGTCATGTTTTTTCTTCTATTTGGACTGGTGTTAAAAACTGCTTGAGTAATGTTTTGGAAAACACAGTCTGGAATGTTGGCAACTGGGAGAATATTAGATTTTGTTTGGATAATTGGTGCGGTGAACCGTTGGTTTCTCTGCTGCAAATTCCTGAGGATTCCTTGTAAGACTCGAATGCAAACCTGAGTCTATTTATAGTTGGTAGCAGTATAGTCCTGCCTACTGATATGGCTTTGAATCTGATGCTGCTTCGATTTATTGAAGAGGTATATCCTAATGTCTTGCAAAAGGACAAGCTAATGTGGAATTGTTCTGACAGTGGGCAACTTAATATGAAAGAAGCTTTCATTCATGTCAAAGGAAACACCGCTGTTTCTCATTGGGGCAGGTTTATTTGGAGTCCCCATATTCCCCCTTCCCATTCTTTGGTTTTTCTGAGACTTAACCTGTCTAAACTTCCCACTGATGAGAAGATGACTGTTTGGGGTTTTCATGTGCCATCTATGTGTAGCTTTTGTCACAAAGAGGAAGATCTAAACCATTTATTTTTCTCTTGTGCTTATGCTTATGCTTGTAAGGTTTGGAATTGACTGCAGCAGATGCTCGTTTTTAATTCTTCCATTACTTGCTTGAGTGACTGCTTCCTGATCATGAACAGATCTAATCTGCGCAGTGTAACCTGGTGACTATTGCTGCAGTTGTTAGCACTGTTCATGCTATTTGGCACGCACGGAACCAGCTCAGATTTCGAAATGTCTCGATTAATTGGAAATCTTCTTGTTCTTCCGTTGCTTCGACGACTCATTTAGCTGGGAATTTGTGCAATCTTACTGCTAGCTCTTCCACGACTGAGTTTCTGATAATGAAGAATTTTTCTATCAGTAATCATCCTCCAATTTCCAATTGTTTGAAGGAAATTTTGTGATGCCCTCCTCAGCTGGGTTGGATTAAAGTTAACATTGATGGGGCCTCAGCTGAAGATCCCATTAGAGCTGCTTGTGGTGGGATATTTAGAAATCACCTTGGTAAGCACTTTGGCAGTTTTGCTTGTAATTTGTCTCTGAATAATGCACTGTTTGCGGAGATTATGGGAGACATTCTTGCAATCGAATATGCGGTTAATTGTAACTGGTCTAATTTGTGGTTAGGGACAAATTCATTGTTGCTCATTAAACCCTACGGTAAATTATCTTTAGTGCCTTGAAATTTAAGGAACAAATGGGAGAATTGTATGATCAAAATTAGAGATTTCAATTTTTTGACAACTCTTATTTACAGGAAAAGAAATCATTGTGCAGGTTTGGTATACACACTGATGTAGATTTGAGGTTCTGGCTCTATGTTCCCCCTCATTTTTGTATCTATTTTGATTTTTAATTTTATCGGGCTATTGTCATCTTTCAGTTAAAAAAGAGAGTAAAATATCATTCAATTTAAAAAATAGATTTGCTCGCAGTTTGGTTCGATTTTAGATGATTGGTTAAAAAAAATTTCTCACAGTTTAATTCGGTTTTGAATGATTGATTAAAAAAAACTGATCCAATCCAATTTCATGTTGTTTGATTTAGATCGATTTTTTTAGATATTTGAATTTCAAATGCTGTTTGATTTGAATCTGTTTTTTAAGATCTAAATTACAAATTATATTTTTTACTATATTTGATATAATATATAACTTATACTAAATTATGCAATAATATTACAAAATGATAATGATTGTTTATAATCGAAACAAATGAAATAATAAAAACTAAAAGATTAAATCAATTTAATAAACTAATGTGAACAAATCAAATCTAAAACTGAACGTTTTCATACACTTTAAAATTTATTCCTTCTGATTCAAGTTATCGTGTCATTCTCCTACACAATGTGACACATGTTTTAGACCCATTTTGTACTATGGATCTCATTAAATATTCCCATACCTTATAAAAATAACAATAT